TTTTTCCGATTCGAATTCTTTATAAATTATATCAAAACGTCGATTATGTTTAAGAACATATTCAAGTTCTGATAATAAACGATCATAATTTTCTATATAATGTTCATATCTCTATTTAAATATTAAAACAATTTTAAAAATAAAAAAAAACAAATTCAAATATTTACTGGTAAAATTTCAATTAAATCTCCTATTTGTTGAGTTATTTTATAAACATTAAAATGTTCATTACCTGATATAGAACGAGTTTTCCTTAAAAAAATCAAATGTTTAATTAATTCGAAGATATTTTATTTATTACCAAATAGATATTCGTTGTTTACGTTGTCGAAGAAAATCTATATGAAAATTATAAATAGGTAATAAATGTGTAAATAAAACATCGGATAAATGTATTAATGTTCCATTTTCAAAATTATATTCATCATTATTATATAAATCTTGTTGTTGATTTATAATAAACATTAATTGATGACGAAATATTTCAGCAATAACTTCAATATCTTTTTTATATGTTCGTTCAGTCTTTAATAATTCTTTACAAATAAAAAACAATCGATCATGAATTGATGGAATTATCATTTTTCCATTTATATTCGTGATTCCAATCCATTTGTTTTTCTTTCAAATATATTTCTTTATTTTCTCGTTTAGCTTTTTCATATTCTAATATAAATCTTCCGATAAATGTACCAACATATGAGAATATAACGATAATTAAAATAGTATTAAAGCCCCTCATTACGAAAACTATAAAACATTGATTGATTCATTGAACTTATAAAATAAATAAATAAATAAACCTTTAACTTACAATTAGCTCGAAAATCATCACGTAATTTACGATATAATTCTCGATTATTACTAATAATTGTTTTCATTAATCCATCTCTATATAATTTCACATCATGATCAAATTTTTATTCGATCACGTGTTGCATGATCATCAGTACTTGTCCGTTTTTGTGTTTAGACCAAAACAACTAAAGAAAAAAAAATTAAATCATTATATATAATATAATATAATATAATCTAGTTTTACCTGATAGTTTGAATTTAATAAACTAGATGGTATTCGAGTTTCGACTCGAATACGAAATGCGGTGCGAAGCACACGTGCCGAGAATCGGCAGAACGAGTTTCGAATCGAAATCGAATAATTCCTCCACATATCATCGGAGTTAGTTCTCACATTCTACGTAGAGGATCAAAGATAATTGACGATATTTCGAAGTTACAGATTATTGATAAGAAGAACATTTTTATTGAACAGCTGATTTAACCTAGATCGGACATGAAAGGGGTCCATTATGAAATTGAACACTAGAGAAATTCTACGAAAGTGTATCGATAGACTTATAGAAACTGCTGTTTATTGATCGATTAATTATCTCTATGATTCATTATGTACTATTTATAATCAGCTGTATCACATCTGTCTTA